CCATTTTTATGGTAATTTCAACTATTTTATGGTTATAACAACTATAATTATAGTCATTTTAGGTTGTCAATTATAACATTTGTTGCTGGAACTATATATATAGTTACTGTTATTATTATTATAGTAGTAATAATCATAATTATAGTAATATATAATTATAGTTACAAATACCAAACATTTTTCTCTCTGTACACTTTTTTTTTTAATCAATTCGTATTAACAAATTTCTTACTTTTCAGTCACCTCAAATTATTATTCATATCTTAATATTTTCTTATAAAAATATCTATTAACTTCAAATGATCAAAGACTCTGTAAGATAAACAATAAAAAATTGAAGACACTGGAATATATTTGTTTCAATATCTCGGATCTTCCATAGTTTATATTAGCAATAAATGTAAAAGCAATTAAAAAATTTACAGTTATTAAGGATGTATAAAAAAATTATAAAAAATATACAGATTTTTCTATATATTGTATTTGAATGCAATACCTGCAATTTGGCGGCGATTTAAAACCTGGACAAAAAAATATTTTAATAATAAACAGACATGCTTTTAGAAAATAATTAAGATGAAATAGGAATATTTTCATTTAAATTATGAAGTTATATTGTTAAATATAAATATTGAGCTTATTAAACTATTTCATATGTAGGTATATAACATTCGTTTTTATACTTCCAGTCACTTTTTGCAGAAATTAGACATATACTTAATAAATTCCTAACTAACTAAAGTTATTAACAATGATAAATGAAAAATCGATTAAAAAATGATCCACAGAAGCAAATAAAGAAGCCTATATTCGGTTAAAGCAAATCTTGATGCTTAATAATATTGTTACGCAAATTTTATAAAGAAACAAATATTAATTAAACCCTCGAGATGTAACTAAACAAAATTTAAAAAAGTAAATGAAAGTAAAATCTGCGCGGTAATTTGTGCGCTATAATTTAACATTTTACATATATCTCCATTCGTATACATATAATAAATATAACAGAGAGTATCGGACTCTTTTTTACATATAATAATATATAACAGTTTCGATTCACTTTGAGTCGTCTTTAACACACTGTCCACAACTTGTAAAAATTCACTTACAGTTAATTAATGTACGAAATTTTATAATTTCCCGTTCTAACGAAATTGCGCCGATTAATCGTCGATCTTGAAACAGTCCTAAACTGAAGCTAAAATATGTAATATCACAAATTACATTGACAAACAATTTAATAATGCTAATAAGGTGCTTAAGGTGCTAATAGTCATTCTTAAAACTAAAGAATGTTTCACAATAAGTTCTCTACAGATTTTAAAATGCTAGTAACATTAAATTTGAGGGAATTATTATTATTTTAGTTTGATTGTGTTACAAGTTCGAAAAATAATCAGCATACAGTCATATGTATGAGATAAATTTATTTAAATATATACATATAAATGTAAGTATATTATTTCAACACCTGACACTTTTTTTGACCGCTTCTCTTACTCACAATCACCGCTAAAGAATTTATTGCAAAAAATATAACCTTTTAGTTAGAATAAAATATTTTAGTTAGAATCTGAAACTCCCTGCATTCTGAGCATCTTCTAAAGTTATTAACTAGATTTAATAATGAAATTTAGTTATTATATACGTATATATTCTTTAAAATAATTCTGCCAATGTTTCGTTCAATATTACTCGAATTGAAATAAAAAATATTACGTTATCGAGATAAAGCATTTGTTAGCAGCTGTATTTAGGAGAACAGTCTTATTATTTTCAATAATAACACCAAAATATTTAAATACAAATACTAATAATACAAACTTAATATAATAATACAAAACCTAACAGGATATGTAAAACCCCTTTATAGAGAAAGACCTGTATTCCAAGCGGTATCTCACTGCGCGGTATGCCTCAAAAAAAGGGTTGTTCTTACAATAGTTGAACCGAACTTTCTTTCATTGTCTACGTTGCAAGCAGGTGACTATAGCGGTTTAGCAAATTTGCTAAGTCAGGACTGACCGTCCCTACGGTCAGCTCTAAATCTTTTTTGCCTCTGTCGACGCTACAGCTAAAAGTTATTACTTACGTAGAAAAGGACCGCTCTGACCAAAAAAAACATATTCAAAAAAGTATACTTCTCCTTTAACTGGACTCTCCAACCATTCTAGCTGGACTTTCTTTCTTTGTTTCCTTTTTAAAAACGCGTCGTTTTAGTGTTACCGCTAAAAACGCAGGAAAACCATTTTAGCGTACCACAAAAACGCAGGAAAGTGCAGGTAATTAAAACAAAAGGGGGATAACGATCGAGGAAAGGGCGGGTGGTCGTCAACCACAAACGGAAGCTGATCGACGCGGGAGCGGCGAGAGACCTCGATCTCGACATTCTCGACTCCCAAGTCCCATGCACACAGCACGGGGAAATAGTAGCGGGGACGTCGCGGACAGTCGCGGAGAGTAGAGAGAGAAGCGGTTCTAACAAAAGCTACTAACCTTCACGCTGGCTAGTATCCGTCACCGTGGCGAAGAGATTACAGAGATGTGGAAGTAATCACATGATGCACTACTAACGACGAACGCACAGCACGGTCGCACTGCTACCGGGCTAAATCCGTCGACGGGGCATCGGTCGGGACGGCCGCGCCGCCGTGCGAT